GCTATTATAATCACAATTTAAATATGGAAAGATATTTGCACTTTTTATCAAATGAACTTGAAGACATGTTGAATAGTTTTCCGTTAGGATCGTATCGAAAATTGGCATATTTTCATGATAGTGCACCTTCACACAACTCACGAGTTGAATGTGAAGATGCCAAAAAAATGCTTGGACGTAAACAGAAGTCAATTTGAACATTTAATTTAAACGATTCATTATTGTTTTGTGCTTTGTATGATAATATAGTTCTTGTTTCCATAGCCTACTACACATTTTTACATTTTTCATCTTCTTTTGAAGTTTTACGGCAACAAAAGGAGAAAAACATACAAACAATTATATCATTTATATATATATACAATCATAAGTTTATTTTTGATCTCGTAAATCAAGTTGACTATGATAACGAGTGCTAGTTTATTGGATTCAACGCAAAAAGTTGTACTAAGAGCAGTTTTAACTTTTTTCTAAGTTAAGCAGTTTACGTAATAAGAATAAAATTGAAATGAACAAATCGGAAATTCCAAAAACAGCATTTAGTACTGAAAATGGCCATTACGAATTTCTTCATTTCTTCGAATGCCATTTGTCCTGGAAAATGCCCCTGCTACATTCCAGCATTGGAAAACATTACAAACGAATTACAAACGAAAAACGTGTGCTGTATATCTTGATATTATTGTATTTTCAAGTTCCCTTCAAGAACACATCGAAAAGTTTACAGATATTTTCAATCAACTTAGAGACGCTAACTTTAAAGTTCAGCTTGACAAATCAGAATTTCTTCAGAAAGAAGTTACCTATTTGGGTCACATTGTTACCCCAGAAGGAGTAAAAGCCAATCCTGACAAAATTAGTGCCGTAAAAAATTACTCAATTCCTCAAACCACCAAGCAAATCAAGGGATTTTTAGGTCTTCTCGGTTATTATAGGCGATTTATCAACAACTTTTCCCAAATTACCAAGCCCCTAACCAAATGTTTGAAAAACGGTGCCAAAATAATTCATAATGAAGAATTTCTATCGTGTTTCAAAAGATGTAAAAATCTACTTATTAATAAACCAATTTTGCAATACCCCGACTTCAATAAACCTTTCAATCTCACTTGTGATGCAAGCAACGTCGCTCTTGGATGCATTCTAAGCCTAGGACCTATTGGTCATGACCTGAATAATTTATAAAAAAGGCAAACTTAAGACAAATGCTGACGCCTTGTCTCGCATTCAGCTACATACGAAAGAAACATATTTTTACATTGACGAGTATGTGAATGAAGTTGCTGAATCAATGCTTTCCGGCCAACCTACTTCAAATATAAATCAGCCAAGTACTTCTCGAAACAATAATCCATAGCCAGAAAGTGTGACCTAATTTCTACACTGGCACAAGCTGACGATGAAAATACGATACCAAATGATAACGACATCAGCGTACACTTGAATGACAAACAGGATCCTATTGTTGGTATTGGAATTGCAGGAATTGCAGTTAACTACGGTGTAATATGTCCAATATTATTTATGCCCCAGAAGTAGATAGCCCAGAAGAGCTTCTAAAGGACCGTTTACACGCTCAAGCCATCTGAACGATTTGGCTTGCGCAAGCCAGATCTGTGCAGATGAACTGAACGAAAATCTGGCGTTTAC